GAAGTAATTACATGCTAAAATTACCAAAAATCTTTAAACAAATAAGAGAAGATTAAAGTTCAAAATGTACTTTTATAGAAATGATTTTCATCGTACAATAAATTTTGCGGTAGATTCACAAAGTCGACCGTAGACAAATGCCATAAAACGTTGACTAATCGTTCCCAGAATCTCATTCGATCACCGGACGCTGCCAACGGATGTGGCACAAACGACGGATAGGTTCTTAAACCCATTTGAACGGCTGCGAAATCATAAACCGATGTTCCGTGCGTTATCCAGGCCACCTTAAGTTTCAATATTTCTATGGGTCGAAAGAGCTATAATACTTCAATTTTAATCGAACTCCTTCATGAGAGATACATACTGATGAAGTGCTTATTATTAAAGAGAAATTTTTCTCATTGTCAGATTATTCTATCAATAGAATGTCATATCGTCGGAAAAAACATGTCAGCAAAAAATCGAAGTATATAATTTGTATATTTCGAAAAAAAANGTTACTGATTCAATAAAAAGAATAAGATTCACTAACTCTCTCAATACCAGTTTTCTTGGCCATTGCGAGTGGACATAAATCATGAAAGTGCCCGATAGCGAGATCGAAGTGTTTTTGCACAAAAAAGTGCGTTTGCTGTTCGCTAATGTTCAACATCTGCTGACACGCTTCAATACGCATATCCTTGAATTCCTGACCGGTCCACCACAGATCGTATGCGCTCGCGTCGTTGAACATCATCGTTTGAAACACCTGAATTCAACTGCTTTGTGCTCTCAAAACAACATACCGTCCACCTTCACAGTTCACAGTTCAATGAGATGGACAGACCTCTTCGACACTTTCTTCAGAAACAAACTTATTGATGAAAGGTTTCAAATAAAGATAGACAGCCGAAAACAATGCAATAACCAGTTTTCTTTGACCTTCAAAATGCTACTACCAATTCAATGAATCACGGAAGTACAGAGTTGCTCCAATGAGAGCGTTAATCCAAAATTTGATTAGTTTTCTCCAGAAATTTGTTCACCTTCAATCCTTCAGCTTTCATTGTATCCGAGAATTGTATCGGTATCCTTAATTCAGTGACGTTTTTTGGTGGTTTTGTAATTGCAGTAATCACCATATTCATCTCCATTTGTGTCCACATATGCACCTCGTGACCAAGACCAGTGAGAGTCTCAGCCAAGCGATAGTTGAACAACACATGACTATTTGTGAAACCAGGCACAATTTGCAGAATTCTTAGTGAATCGCACGATGCACATAACAACAGCAACGACAATAAAACAGACATTCGCTAACAATGTCTGAAATTTGTTGACGATTACATCACAAATGCAATCAAAATTATCGGAAAAAACGACAGACACACTGTGAAAGTGACACAAATAAATGACTATCATAATTGGACGAATTTGTGTTTATATGGTTCTCACGGACAATAGATCATTCTCAATTAGTAAAGTCAAATACAGATTGTCACGAATTAAGAATCGAAATAGATTTGGTAACTTCAAAAATTTTAAGGACTTCTTCATTAAATCATCAAATGATTGCAACAGTACGTAAAATATATTAGATGAAGGATAATAATTTGAAGAATTATCTCGTTGCATAGGAATAATAGTCAGAAAACGAATTCAACTTATAACTCCTATAAAGTTTATGAAGAATAATAAATGATTAGCAAATTGTCTGATCGATCAATAAGCAAGAAATGATCATCGAAACAAATTTGTATTATTTGTGAACGGCATTAATCATCTTCAATGGAGTATTATGAGTTACCTTGTGGCAATAACCTCTCATCGAAAAACATACAACCCAGGTGCATCACTGAAGATGTACTCATCGTTCAAAATGTCACAAGCCAGTGACCATCATCTTAATATCACTTTTCTAGAGAGTAGGCCTTCATGGAATTATAGCTCTATACTTGTCGATATAATGAAATTTTGAATAGGTACATTTCGGCATATAAATGAACAGAATATATCAATACCAAAGAAGTATAAACCTGAAATGAGCAATTTATCATTCGCATATGAACGATTTAGTTCGTAAACATCACTTAAAAGAAAAATGAACTATGCGAAACTGAAAGATTCATTGATAAAGAAATCATGTGGGATAGATGATTTTCTTGAACGTATGAGAAGAGAATGTTGTTGCTAAAGTCGTTGATGTAGACATAGGGCAGGCGAGTGGAAATAAATAAGAAGTTACTTTGTGTGTAATAGAAGTATTGATAAGGAAGGCACTGTCATCAAATGATCTGTTGATAACAGTGAAGAAAGTGTAATGCAAATTCCAGTATCTTATAATTCAAATTATTTTTGTTGAACAGCGTTATCACANTAATAGAAGTATTGATAAGGCACTGTCAATCAAATGATCTGTTGATAACAGTGAAGAAAGTGTAATGCAAATTCCAGTATCTTATAATTCAAATTATTTTTGTTGAACAGCGTTATCACAAAGAATGTGTTTGTTGAAGATACTACAAGAAACTGTGTTCCAAGTATCACTAGATACTAATGAATTGCAGTTAGCAACTCATGTACATTTGATATGTGCATCTGCGATAGCGCAACGCATTGGTTGGCTGATAATGAGGTGAAACGTAAGTTTTTGAATAAATATGAAGATAAAACTGAACTTCGTTGAGTTTCAATCAAATTTAGCTGTCTCCAGTGCGAAAATTACTATAGCAATATCGAAAGTATCATATTCAAACAAGACGTGTTCTCAGGTTTGCACAGCAGCTCACAATTCCTTCACAAAATTGAATTGCACACATTTGTTGCTATCTGAACAGTAAATATGTTGCTGAATTTCCTTAAAGCGCTAAATTCCATTAGTATGTTAACCATCCAATACGCTCTTGTTATGCAGTAGAAAGGACAATAATACGAAAATGTTTTATTAGCGATATTCATTCGAATCTGAAATGCACAACGTTCAGTGAATATGTACAGTAGAATGGCATTCTTTACTCATTTTCTAACAGATTACTCATTGTTATTATTTGATGAGGTGTTTTATGAATTGAATTTCAACTGTTCAATAAGTCAGTTTGTGATCGCTATTGTGGATGTGTTCAGTTTTTCTGTGGCTGATGCCGGTATAAGACCATGTTCCATCAAATATTGACTATAACGAATGTCGTCTTGTTCCGAAGTGAGATAACGTTCACAGCCAAGCCTCAGCTCCAACTTCCTGAGATCCAAATATACCTGTGCACCTTGTAGCCATTCATGTGCCAAGCATTCGTCTATCGTTAAACGTTGCTCAATCTGCAAAACGGAAAATTTTACACAATATATATTTTATCACTTTCATGAAATTCTCATTTGCAGTTAAGCAATTACATATCTAAGCATCTGTCAGGCTCAGACGTATATGGTTAGCCAACGAATCTACGCGATCCAGGTGATTTTATGAGAATGAAGGTGGACATCACCATCTATTATAATATCTTCGATAGGATGGATTTTAACAGTTTTAGGGCTTATCTTTCGCAAAAATGTTGCCAAGGAATCGACAATAAGAACAGTTTTTTTTTTGTTGAAAATCTTTCTGCGTTGGACTGGTGCAATTGTTTCAAATGTTGACTGTTTGCATTCAAATAAATACGGTTCACCTGAACTTTAAGCAGCCGTTGAATGAGATCTATGGCACTTCTCGATATTTGTTTCCATGGTTCAGCCGGAAACATAAATGCGGCATTTTGAATCTGTTCTGAGATCTCTTCACCGTCGTTGAACGGAAAAGTTCCACTGAGTGTCACATAGATAATCACACCCACTGACCACATATCCAATGATTTATTGTAACCTGTAATTCATCGTAATCCTCAGTCTACTAAAATTTATACGAATACACATAATCTTAAGACAACAACAAACCTCTTTTTTGTAACACTTCAGGGGCAAGATAGGCTGGTGTTCCAACGATTGTTTTCCTGTAATAACGATAACTTTCAGCAATGACACAATCTGATACGAAATAAGATAAGGTTAAGATAAGATTTGAGTCGGAAATTCACCTGAACTGTGCATCACCAATGAATCTCGCATAACCGAAGTCACACAGTTTCGTTTGCGGGAACGCATCCACCAAGTCTGACAGAAGAACATTCTCTGGTTTGAGATCGCAATGCGCGATACCTTTTGAGTGTAAGTATTTAAGCGCACTTAAGATTTGCATTATCAGATATCTTGTCGTTCGTTCGTCCAATCTTCCGGCAGCCTCAAAAAAAAAATTAATTCCCCTTTTCATAACAAACTAGCTAATGTGGTGATCACCAAAAAGTCTAACTACATTATCATCTACTATTTTCGTTGCATATATTATTGAATGATACTATTACTACGTATTGTTGAATGATACTTTTACTATTACTGTTGATTTGAATTGTGTGGTTCAACTACACAAGTTTGAGATAAAATGATTAAGCCGAAGAATCGTTACCTGGTGCGACGAGCCGGGAACTGACTTCAAAAGAGTTCACTTCCGGGTTCGTGGCACCATGTAACGTAAGTAAAGAATGAAACGACAACTCCAAGTCAAAGCATTACAGTTATTCATATCAATCTGAATCACTCGAATGTATTTTTTAAAAATTAATCAAAGAGTACTGAAATTGTTATCATTAACTGCATCGTCATCTAACCTCAAGTTTATTATCGTTATCCTTTGACTGTCCACCACATTATACAGTGATTATTATAAGCAGCACTAATATCAGCAGTTCGTCAGATGATCATTAATATAGCAACAAATAGATCTTTTCTACTGCACTCGCAATTCACATCATTTCCAGACTCGCAATCATTAACTACCTAATCTTCGAAATTGTCCTATTCGAACCTAACGTGTCACGCTCGCATATCCAACTGACTGATCATGTCAACTAAGTGTTCTTATATCATTCCTCAACATCCTCAAACTAATCAGTCATCCATCTTTGATTCAAACTACCCTTAAGTCCAGTATATTCTTATTGCTCATATCATTTCTTACTGTAAATAATTCAAACCTCCAAGTTCACTACCCAGTTCTTACTATTATTCTATTCTGATCACAATGTCCGCGTCTCATAGCACCACGCGATGATTCTCAGACGTAATCGTTTTATAATAGCTCAAAGTTGTGTGACTGAACCAAGGCAATAGCATTAACAAAAAACGATGTTTTGAATTTGCGAACTGATCGTTAATGCTACTGTCTTGGTGTGATTATGCAAATTTGAACGAGAAAGACTACAGGGCATAAGAATC